GGCCAGTCCGTTCATATGTAATCTATAGCTGATGGCCTCCAGGAGGTCATTTTGTTTCTTCCTTCCCTCTCTTCATTTCTTGTCACTTACATATTTCTCTGCAGACTCATAGACCCATGTGCCAGAGACCAATAAGCCCTGGTCTGATTCTTCTGTTCTTTAGAAAAAGCCACCTATACAGTGAAGAAACTCTCCATTTGTTACTATTGCTATTGGTTGAACTTTATAGTATAATTAACAGACCTAATGAAGATGAAATAGATAAGATGAAGAGAAAAGAAAATATTAAAGAGACAGAGAATACTAGTCATTCACCACACTTGTACTCATTCAAAAGTCAACATGTATTTGTGATTGACCCTGTTATGTGCCTTGCACCATCCTAGGCACTAGGGTAGGGGTATATGGGAAATCAAACCTGTTCATATCCTACCCCCAGGGAATTAGGTTCTGGTAGGGGAAAAGAACTAATAAACAGATAATAAAGCCAACCACATATCACAGCTGGCAATAATCGCTCAGAAGAAAAATAAACCAGGGCAATAGGATACAGCTAATGGGGGTAGAGATATTTTAGGCTAGGGGACCAGGGAGTGTGACCTTGTATACAAAGATTCTTTCATTCAATATTTATCCGCTGCCTTTGAGAAGCTGGATACTGTGCACGAGATACAAGATAAATAAGACGTGGTCCCTGCCCTCCAGGAGCCGACAGCCCAGTGGAGAATCTCGCCACCTGCTCCACTAGGCAGACAGATTAGAAGTCTCAGGGCACATTGCTGCAGTAACATTGTGCACAGTGACCAATCTGAACAGACTGTAAGTATTCCAAAGCTCACAGTGGTTTCCATAAAATAATTCTCACTTCAAGTAAACATTTTCAGTTGGTGAGTAACTCTATTTTCCACCGACAGCACTCATATTTGAGGGTTTCCTTAATGCAACAATGACTTGTTTTTCTGATTGGTTGCCAAGGATTGTTTGGGTCCTTACTGAAATGTACTTGCTTAACTCCTCCAAAACAACTTGGCTGCTTTCTTGCTGTACTGGCAACTGCTGCCTCCTGTACTGAAAAATGTGTTCTTTCTGAAAAATTTGGACTGTCCCTGGATGGTTTCCATGAAAATTAATGATGAAAAAAAAAAGGAAGGAGAAAAAATATTTTTAAATAAGTGAAGAAAAATAGAGGTTTGTATCCCGAAGATTTACGTAAATGCAGGTCACATTCTGGGTGCTGGGCTGTTTTTTCCTACTTCCTTCATGCTTTGTCAGGTACCTGGTTCAAAAATGTCCTGATTCATCAAGAAGACAGAGAAAAATATAATTACGCTCAAAATACCAGCTTGTATAAACAAGCTGCTTTTCTTTATTGTGCTTTTCATACACCCTCCATATCCTGAGCTTGACAAAGGTTGTAATACTATAACATTGTTAAAAGCACACCCAATCGTGTGAGAGATCAACACCGAGCAGAAAAGTCTTTGTTTTCCCGAGACAGAGTCTTTTTGAGGGGATGGGAGATGGTATCACAGGCAGTTGTTCCAGAGTGAGGGAGACAGGCCCCGGCCCCTGGGGCTCAGATGACGCTAATCCACGCACTGTGCGGGCTCCGTGCAGAACCGGCTTCCTCCCCGCATTCGCACTGTCACATTCCTCACCCCTCACCGCCCTTTGAAGACGCGGGAGAGGAGATAGTTTTGGCGAGGCTGAGACGTAAGCACAGGTGGTACCACTTGTTATAAACTTTTCAGCTTTTGCTGGAGTTCTGAGCAGACTTCATAGTCTGATCAGTCAGAGCAGCGGAAGCGCAACGCTGGGCCCTCACTGTTGATCTGTCTGTCGCATGGCTGCTGGATTCCGCAGCTTGTCATCTTGCGGGGACACATTTTCTCTCAGTGGCACCTTAGGGCCACGGTGCCGGCCAGAGTCACAACCAAAGAGTCTCATTTCCTTCCTGCTCCAAACAGTGTGTTTGTGGCAGTTCTGCCTCTTTTGTGTTGGAGAAATTTCACACCAAATTTTGAATTTTGTTCAGCTATTTCTTGCTTTGCTATACCAAAGTAAAAAAAAAATCAATGTGTCATAATATTTTTTTTTTTTACATGTTGGAGTCCTTCCCATTGGTGGAGTTTTCACTCTTATCACGGCCTCAGTCATAGCACCTTCCACTGCTGTGCTCATGTCAGCTTTAGGGGTAAGTGACAGACAGGAATTTTGCTATCAAAGTTACTTCCTAAGGCCACGAAAAGTCAATTACTGGACAAGATCAAGAACTTAGTTCTAAATATAAACTCTTCCTCAGCACGGGCAAATAATAAATTCTGCCAAAGTTTAACCCTACCCTAAAGCTCCCCATAGGAACCCTGCTCCTCCCTGAACAGTCTGTTTTCTAAGGATGTCACTCAAGATGAAATTTCCTCCATTGAATCTGAAGTAGCTGATTAGGTGATGAGGTGCTAACATAAAAACTTCCATTTTCAGCTCTATTAACTTTGATTAGGAAGATATAATTGCAATTAAGCATCCTCTCGGGGTGGCTTTCCAAATTGGTAAGGGTGTCCAGTTGTTGGTGGGTTTGGCTTAGGTTGCACAGTTTATTTGTTTGGGTTGTATGTTTTGAAAGTGTTCCCAGGGCTTTTCAAAAGAGTGATGGGGACATTTGTATAAATGGAATCGAAAGCGAGGGAACGGGCATTGCCAGCACTCTAATTATGAACCTAGCAACATGTGTACTTATTTGAGAGTTGAAACTGGACAAGACAGAGGGAAAGCAGGGGTGCCTCGTGGTCTTGAATAGGACAGCTGCCTTCTCTTCCTAGCAGGGAGGGCCTAAAAAGCACAAGCTTCCCTACCCTTTTAGGCAGACAACGATATGGCAAAGAGCCCTGTTTCTTTCCGCCCCAATGTATTTTTCACTTTGAGGCACTCTCTGGACAGAGGGTAAAGTTCTGAGACACCCAGAGTGGTCATTTATGTCAGGTGATTTGAGTAGATGCACTCCCTGTCCTCCTTGGAATGTTTTTTTAAGGTCAAAGGGCCAGCACCTGATGTAGTGTTGAACTCCAGAGGGAGGGGGAGGGGGAGGGACATCTCCTAACCCCTGTGTCTTTCCACTGCCCGAGAGAAAAATGCCAGACTCTTTGAAACCTCTCTTCTTCTGACACACAAATTTTCCAGAAGCTGGAACCAGAATAGTTGGAGGGCTGTTAAACAAGAGGGTATTACTAAGACTGGGGTGGTGAACCAAAAGAATTTGGAAAGTTTGAGAATGGAGAAGATTGGGGTGGCTGACACACACTTTTGCTTCCTTTAATTTTTGAGGGGTCCCCCCCCCGCTTCTTCATTTCTAGTCAAGTGTATTTCATTCCAGACGTTAAATCAAAACCCTCCTCTCTCCAGTCTCTCCGTGGATTAGGAGTAATTACAAGGTAAAAACATTGTCTGCTTCCTTGAAATCCGTAGCTTTATTCTAAAGATTTTATAGAGGGGTCTGTTTGACTTTTTCCCCCCAAGTTATATGTGAGATGGTATTTCTAAGGTAGCTATTATGCTGTTGTTCTAAAATAATTTGGGGGGGGGGGAGTAACTACCTGAGAACACATCTTTCACATTTTAGGCTTTTAAAAACTGATGGAGAAATACACAAAGTTATACACACAGCTCATGGCAGAGTCTCTCCCTGAGTAGAACTGGAGGGATCCCAAGGCGAATGCTGAAGCCACTGAACGGTCTGAGCAGGCTGCGGGGCTTCACTGCAATGTCTGGTAAATTCCATGTAATTACTGCTGCCTGCTGAAGGAGGCCGTGGTCTCCACAGGCCTTAAGGCCTTAGTTATGGCCAGAAGGCGAGTGGGCAGGATTCAAGCCCCCCATCCCCCAGGAGTGCCAGAAGCTAGGAGCTTCCTTCAAAGCAAAGACAACTGTTGGAATAAGCCAGCTGTGCAGAGCAGAATTTAAAAGCTTGTAGATTTAGGTAAAGTAGGGCCACCTGTGAATCTTTTTAATTTTTTTCCTTTTAAAAAGAATGGGAGAAAGAAAAAGACAAATCCAAGTAAAAGGCAGCTAGCCTCTTAAGAAATGCCAGACTCTGCTCAGCTGTACTGGGTTATTTTCCTAGGAACAGTACAACAAATCAATACATTTGAATTGAGTTATCACAGTGTTTTTCAGAATTACCCGAAAAGCTTGCAAAAATTCTGACTCACAGAACTAGCCCAGAGGTTCTAATACTCTGTGTTTAAGGTCTGGGTCATCAGTAAAATGGGTGTTTTAACATCTACAAATTTTTAGGAGCCTTAAAAGATGGGCCTCTTAAAGTTGTCTGTAACCGCAGAGTGCCACATAAATGTTAATATTTAACTAATATGGCCTGGATAGTGTTCCTCATATTTGTTAGATAATGGGCTAGGAACATTGACAGAAATAAGTCTTAAGACTGTAGTTGTGTAGTTTGCACACTTAACAGTTTAATATTATTAGATTTCACCAAGAATACTTACTTCCTTCTCAAGAAAGTGAATTCCTTAAGCAAAAATTTTGTGAGCAACATCTTTCTCTCCCCAAAGTTGTTCTTTTGTAGTTCCTGATTGAACACTGAAAATAACACCTCAAGACTTCATTCCAAATTGTTACCAAGGAGAGGGGTTCAATCTTTCTGATTCCTTCTTCCTTTGTTTTAATCACAGGTTTATTTGTGGGTGGGGTGGTGGCTGGAATGTATGCTAGTTTGATGACATTGCTTCCTCTTTTAATTGTACTGCAGGGAATGAAAATCGTTAGGGGATGTTTCTGTTGTATTTGGATGAAAGGGTTTTCCTTAGTATGTGTGCCCTGCTCACAGCACACATTCTTAGGATGACTTAAGAAAGCATACCTGACATACCTCACACAGATTGGAGGCCTGACTGAATGAGCCCTGGGATGAATGGGCATCCATGAAAACCAAGTAAAAAGAAACGCTAAAAATACCACACTAGTACAGAAATTTGGGCTGCATTTCATTTGTAGTTACTACTTAAAAATGGAATCCAGTCAAAGTTTATTTTTTTATTCACATATAAAATAAAATCACTTTCACAAAGAATCCTAGACCTGGAAAACACTTTAGAAATGATCTAGTCTAGTGATTTTCAAATTGTGCTACCTAGAGCTATAAAGCAAGGCTACCCCACTTTAGTTAAACATTTGAATCACTTAGGAAGCTTTATAAAAAATATGCTAGGTCCCCATTCCCAAAGAATACAATTCAGCTCATGAGAGTGGGCCCTGGGCATAGGTTTTAGAAGTTTTCCAGGATTGTGAACCACCATTCCAGGGGTTTGGCAGTCCAATATTTGGACATGTGATCTGATAAATGCAAGTATACTCCCTGGGGACACTACAATAGGTTATGTTAAACTGGGAAAATTGGGATGCACTTGTGCTGTATAGAGTTCTCATTAATTTCAAAGAAGTCACTAGACATCCACAAAATTCATTTAAACAGAACTATCTCACGTATAGGACATTCTGCAGGTATACAAGGGACACACAAAAGATTAAGACCCAGTCTCTCTCTTAAAGATTTTATAAAGTCTTGCAATCTGGAAACATATATGGAAGTTGGCCTGTGGCAGAGGCATGGGGAGGGAATGAGAAAAACAAGTATAAATATAACTTTAATAAAAGGCAGGTGTGTTATAGATGGCACAGGGAAGATTAAATCACAGAAAAATATTATAGCTTTCAGCATTTGCTCTAATTTCTCATTTCTTCTTTACCCAGTGTAGAATGGACTGAAATGAGCCATTTTGAAATCCATAGTCTTGGAACACAGACTGCTTTTTGGGTGGGGTTCAGGAATAAAAAGGGAAACTGATGCAGGTACCCTCTTCTTTCTTACCCCCCACTTGGTGAAAGGTAAGATATTTCCTAAGACACACCAGGCAGGAGGTCCCTCAGGTGGAAGGGAAAAAGTAAAATCATGGGTGCCGAGTGACATTTTCAGGACTGCTTCTAGATGTCTGACCACTGGTTTTGTGGCATAAGGAAGGGCAGAGGAAGACACCTGCCTGCCTTGATTTGACTTTGTGCTTCTCGAAGTCCAAGGTTGTTAATAGTCCCAGGTGTCTCATCTCCTTTCACAGATCACGAGCATAGCTGTGTTTAAAAAAAAAAAAATCACATAAAGCTTCCATCGTCTGTTGCTCTTCATATGAGTTCTCTTCACAAACATAGTCACAGGGCNTCACATAAGGCTTCCATCGTCTGTTGCTCTTCATATGAGTTCTCTTCACAAACAGAGTCACAGGGCACAAAATCTTTCAAGGCGTGATTACACATAAGTTTGCCTAATTTCCCACTGACTCCATCCAGTGGTTCTCATATTTATAACCTGTGGATCGATACCAATAGCATTAGCCACGGAACATATCTTGGCAGCGAGTGCTTTCTATCAGCTTTCATCTGATTTCAGCAGAATGTTGATTTAGCATAAGAGAGATTTGAAGATTCAGGTATGTTACCAAGGAAGTAGTACTCAGATCTGGGTGGAAGAGTCAGAAGAAAAAAACACAACTATTGGATGAGATGATCCTTAAAGGACGGGCGGGAGTTCAACAAATAGTTGATCATAGGAAAACTTTCTGGCTGGGTAAGAAAAATGTACAGTTTTGTTCAGCCAATTCTGGAGTTTAGGGTATTGGTAGTAAAGAGGAAGAAATTTAGAATGGAAAAGTGGGTTCAGGCACCATTCCATTTGTGGTGAGCTTTGAATGCCGGTAGAATACTTGTACTTAGTTTGGTCAGTAATCACAAACTACTGAATCTTCTGAGTATGGAAATTACATAATCAAACTTGTGTTTTATTAAACTTGATTGGGCAGCGCAATGAGGAATGGATTGGGGTCAATGAGAAAAAGATTGGGAGCAGAATAATATATTAAAAATATTATTGTGCTAGTACAAAGAACAGTAGAGACATTTGTATTGGAAAGATGGGGTTTTAGTGGTAAGAAATGAAGAAAAAACATAACGTTGGAGAATTGGAAACAGATTTAAGAAACTAAGCAAGAATGGTGTTTCTACATTTATAAAATAAGCACTGACTTGAACAGACTGTTTAAAGTAACCAAGCATATATATGGGAAGGGATAGTTTTTGTCCTGCCTCTTTAAATTTCTGCTGGACCTGTTTAGTGTTACTGGTAATTTTGGAGATGTAGCTAATGAGTTTTGAATATCAGGATGGTTTGGAATAATATATAATCATAAAGAAAAAAACTGGTTAGAGACAAATGTCCACCTTAGTGTGTACCTAGTGAAAAACAAAAACTTCAGTACTGGACAGAAGTATGGAGGATTTTTTTTTTTTCCTACTAAACTGATCAATTATTTTGACATCTTGTAGGAAAACACAAAAGTTTTTAATTACTTTCATTAAGAATTCTGTGCCACTACTTAATCCATCTACTCCTGTTCAGATTTTATTATTGTTTCTTGTCTGTGTGACATTTTGTTGTGTTTTAATTAGTGAGGCCTAATTCTGACCAAATTCTAGGTCACTGTACTTTTCAGCATGGGCCCAATAAGAGGGAATGTTAAGGTGACACCTGACTAGCTACAGTGATTTCTAAGCCCATGTTACATCCATCGATTCATTCTGCAGAAATCTTTTTGAGGTCTGCTTACAGTCCAGGTTCTGTACTTGCTGAGAGTAATATAAACAGTGTGGAGATGCTCAGAGTTTAACTAGGTGCAGATATACAGGGTGGGGCAAAAGTAGGTTTACAGTTGTGGGTACACGAAACACAGAGTTTAGTTTTGTATCAATATTTATTAATTATTGTATTATTTTCCATATGAACAACTACAAACCTACTTTTGCCCCACCCGTACACAATAAAAATACAAGGGATAGGATATAAGAAGGAAAAAATAAAAAAGAATGTGAGACCAGAGGCAGGGCAAATTTATTTACTGAGGAGACTGTAGAAATCTTTGTAAAGAAAGTGATATGTCACATAAAAAGGCAATCGACAATTCATTTCCTCTTTCTCTCTTCCTATCTCCATCCTTCCCTTCCCTTACTTCCTCAAATGTTTATCAAGTACCTATAGTGCTTAAAGCATATGATAAGAGCTTTTGGCTCCAATCAGACATAAAAAACAGCTGAGAGAGAACATTGCACTAATTATGCACATCCAGGAGAAACTGTTGAGTGACATGACTGAAGTATAAGATAAGCATAAAAGTTCGAGACAAAGATAGAGAAAGGTTTGAAGAGTGGCTGGAGAATAGTATCCTCTATGTCTTTGCTGTGTTCACAGTTGGGAAACCTGTTTCTTAATGCATGTGGAAGCACCCACAGCGACACGTGGAGATGTTGCTGCCCCTGGGAAACAAGGAGGGATCTGGTAACTGAGATCCCTGTGCAGGATACAAGGACCTGTTTGTCACTGGTCATTTACAGCCCTCACCTGCGAAGAGATATGCTCCCTGTTACATGAAAACTTGTCGTCTGCTTCTGAGTGCGTTTCTGAAAACCACTTTCTGAAATGCTATTTGAAAGACCCATTTAAAAATACTGTCATGATGCCCTGGCCAGTGTCGCTCAGTGGTTAGATCGCCAGCTGGCTCACCAAAGTGCTGCAGGTTGGATTCCCAGTCAAAGGCACCTACCTGGGTTGGAGGTTCGATCCCGCCCCGGTTGGGGGTGCCTGTGGGAGGCAACCAATCCATGTGGCTATCGCATGGATGTTTCTCTCTGTCTTCTCCTTCCCTCTCTCCCACTCTCTGTAAAAATCAATGGAAAAATATCCTTGGGTGAGATTAACAACGACAATAATAATAATTTCATGACTATGTATGGCTTTCTTGCTAAAATGTGAAAACTGAACTTGGTTGGTGGACAAAGAAGTCTTATTAGCTTTCTTCTTTTTTTTTTCCTGCTCTCTTCCTAACCATTGAATCTGGAAGCACATTCTTTCATTAAGGAGGGTCAGCACCCTCTACAGTAGTTGATCGTGATCATTAACATCCCACAGCATGTCCTAGTCTTGAAAGATAAGAGTCAGCCTCGTGCAAATGAAATTTTAGACAAATGCTGCTTTGCTTTTCTATCATTCTCTCTTAAATGATGCGGTAGTCCTCCCTTATCCACGGTTTCGCTTTCCACAGTTTCAGTTACCCACAGTCAACTGCAGTCTAAAAATATTAAATGGAAAATTCCAGAAATAAACAATTCATAAGTTCAAGTGCCATTCTTTGTACTGTGATGGAATCTCACACCTTCCTTCTCTGATTTGCCTGGGATGGGAATTAGCCCTCTGCCCAGTGCATCCACTCGGTATATCCCTGCTGTTAGTCACTTAGCACCGTCTCGGTTATCAGATCAACTGTTGAGGTATCGCAGTGCTTGTGTTCTTACTTAATAACGGCCCCGAAGTGCAAGAGTAGTGATGCTGGCAATTTGGATATGCCAAAGAGAAGCCACAAAGTGCTTCCTTGAAGTGGAAATATATGTATGTATAGAAAAAATATAGTATATACAGGGTTCAGTACTATCTGTGGTTTCAGGCATCTATGGGGGGTCTTGAAGCTTATCTGTGTGGATGGGGGGAATTACTGAGCAAACTTAGGTTGGCAATGGAACCAATATTAAAATAGGAGTTAACTTCATTTCTGGTTATATCTCCTGACATTGACATTCTATAGATATTGAAACCAAGCTTTTTCTCTTTAAAGAATCTTGCTATCCCTCCCAAGAAATCTCTCTGATTCATTTCCATCAAGTGCCTCATTCTTCTGCCATTCTGCAAAATGGAGATTTGTCAGTTTTTGGTCTCTGTAGATTTCCCTTCTATTGAGTGATTAATTACTAGCTTTCTGGTGACTTCTTAATCTTTTTCTGTATTTTAAAATATTCATTCATTTCAAAATCCTCTAGTGTAAGGTACAAAGACTAAGTGGGACATAAGTAACTGCAATTACTTTCCTCTCCATTCAGCTTTGCCTTTACCACTAAAGACATCATTTAAAAAATGAATAAAAACCATAAAAGTTTAAAACACAAAAATAAACACTAGGGAATTAGTTTCCTCTGTGAAAACATTAGCATTTAAAAGTTAAAGTGACAAAAAATGCTTATTCCTTACATCATTAACAAAGTACCTATTTTTGTTAGCGATCCTTGTGTTTTTAAAAGATGCTGCAAATATATAAAGATAGGTGGCTTCTGAGTAGTGAAACACAATTCATTTAAAACAGCAAAACCAAAACACACTTTTATTGTTAGGAAGTATTGAAATCCCACTGCCTAATGTATGAATTAATGGGACTTCTTGACAAATCACCTGTTAAATTTCAGCTGACAACTTGTCATATATTAATTATAAATAATTGTAATATACGGCTAACATAATGCATGCAACAACAACAAAAAAAATAGGAAAGGTAATTAGAGTATATCCTTTGTTTTCTCCCTTACTTTTTGCCCATAAGAAAAAAAATGACCCAATGTTTCACTTGGTTGGGACAGTGCCAATGGTTAATGGAATGTCCCACTCTACTAAAGAATTTAATGGGAATATCCATTTGTCACCGTCGCATGCTGTAATCTCCAGTAGCAGAGCCAATGGAAAATAGCATCGTACCATAACGTCCTCTGCACACTGCAGGTGAGGGTGAGATGCAGCAGCCGAACTGAGCAGTCAGGTAGTGAGGTTGGCTTTTCTAGGCCTTTCTTTGGAGAAAGATGCAATTTCTTTCCTTTAAGACCACAGTGAGTGCTGCCTGGCAGCAACAAGAAATGTTACCCTGCAGAAAATAAAGGGCATTTCTGTCAAATGGAGAACAGTGTAAATGTTTGCATTGCATGTCTCAAAATCTCTAACCACCTCTTTGTCTACAAGAAGCCCACCTGTTTGGGGAAGAGACGGTCGGTAGTAGAATCAGAAAGACCAGGATTAGACGCTCATTCCAATCATCTCCTAGTTCTGAGTTTGAGCTTTCAGATCTGAAGAATGGGAATAACAGCACCTAAACTTGCCATGTTACTGGTAGAATTTATAGGACTGAGTCAAAAAATTAGCACAATAACACCTGAGTTATTGGCTTCCTTCTTCACAAGGAAGGTGATTTCAGCAGATGGAATTATAATGTAGTCTGGTTAATTGATGTGTGTATACCTTGTGTTCCCAAATAATGTAAAATATTGTTAGTTTAGGGGCTGTTTTATATCTATGTATTTTTTTAATCTTTGTCACGCACCAGTTCTCTGTTTGGGACAAGTAGTAAGCTACTAAGAAATGCTGTATGAATTAAATGTGAAGAACTCTCTCAAGTAAACACTTAACACTTGTAGAGATAACTTATATTTGAGTTATTTGAGGATAATTACCTATTATTATTCCATTTATGCAGTTAGCAGCAAATTATTGAAGTATATTAGCACCTATAGAAGAGGCCTAAGATATTAATTCATTTCAGTGCCATATTAAACTGTTCACTATCTTCAGGACACGTCACTTGAACCTCTGTTGTGTTTCCCATTTTAACTGGATTTAATAGAAACCATTGTAGCCCTCCAAAAGAAAACATGATCAGCAATAGTTCTGCAATAGTTCTTCAGTGCCTTGGTTAATAACTTATAATCACAATAGAAGTGAAAACACATGATTTGAAGTGAAACAGATGTAGGTCTAACACTCTCGCTTGGCCACTTGATAGCTGGGTCAGCTTGACGAAATAACTTAGCCCCTCTGTTCCTGTTTCCTCCCTGAGGCAGTGGGGCTAATAACACTTACATAGCTGGGCAGTTGTTAAGACTGGGGGAGAGTCAGTGGCTTTGAAACTTTTCCTTTTAATCACTAACCACACAACTGAAACATGTTTTACCAAACAGTACTTAGTGCATATAATGCAGTCTTCATTCTTTCCTTTCCTGCTTTCATTTCTTTCGCTTAAAAAACTATTCATGACCCACTAGATTCCTGATTCACAAAAGATGCCTTTTGAAAACAGCGGGACAGCAGGTGTTTACTGCATAATACAGGTATAACACATGCTTACTATTATTGTCATTATGATTATTTTTAGTCTTTTTAGGATGCTTCATGATAGATGAAAATAAAATCTTCTGAGTGCTTCTAGGAACGAACTCTCTTGGATGGGGTCCAAAATAGACTCATCCTCATCATATGCTGAATTATGCACGAGAGGGGGTTGTGCTGTAGCAAAGCTCCCGTGTGCTATTCATCACAGAATGTTAGGGCTGGAAAGGAACGGAGAAAATGTCTAGTCCCATTTATTTTCTGTCATGTGAGTATTTATAGTTTTAAAATATCCTGCATTTATTGCTCATTGATAAATTGAGGAAAAAAACACACCCACAAAAACAACTTCTTTGATCCAGAACTGGAAGATAATTGGGTAGAGGGGAACATGGGTCATGCCATCTGGCTTTTGTTCTGCTTCTATCACCAAATTTTGGGTCACCTTAAACTCTCAGGGACTAAGTCTCCTTACCTGTAAAATGAGGTGATTTCAACAGATGACTAGCCCATGTCGATGTTCTTGGACTTCAAATCTCCAAATGGTATAACCCAGAGGTTATATTTGATCCCACAGGGTGCTGTTTTGTTACGAACCTTGTTCTGGATGAGTGTGAATACACGTGCATGGGGCTGCAGGGTCACTCCCCCTACCATGCGGAGGTGCAGGGAGTTTAGCTCTTCTGTCTGCCCTATCTCTTCTTCCTCAGCAGCACCACTCTCTTTTGCATAAAAGCTCAGACTCTCTAGCCACTTCCTCCCACCCTTACTTCTTTCTCCCAGGTGTTTGCCTATAGTGGGGCAGAAATATCTAGGACCTCATGGTGTCCAGAAAATTGGGTCTTCGGGCTTATGTCATTGACTTGTACTGTCCTCTGTCTCCTCTGATTTCTTTTCCACCTGCTTATTGCTCACCTTGGTAATTATAATCACTCAGTTCTCGAGCTAGTTTGACTTGCTGCCAGTGGGGTACGTTGATAGTTCCTCGCTTATGGGCACAGATAACAGTCAGGTGTCCCAGCTGGGATCTTCTTAAAGTCAGATTTGGTCAGATGTTCTTAAATTCGGCAGGTGTATGTGTCTCTCTCTACCAAAGACAACAGCAGAGGAATACTAGGGTTTTAAGAACTTTTTGTTTGTTCCCCTAGCATCCAACTTTTGCAAGAGGAAAATAGGACTCCCTAGTTTAGGGGGGGAGATGTAGCAATGAGAAAGCCAAATCAGAGTTTATACTTCGAGTGAAAATCACCTATGTGGATGCTCAGATTTCTGGTTCCATCCTTACACCACAGGGGGCAGGTGTCCACCATACCTGCTCAGCCATGCAGTTCTTCGTGTCATGAGAAAGTTTGGAGTGTAAACCTGGCACTGGAAGCTTACAAAAGAATAGATTTCTTCTTGATTTTCACTATAAGGCTAACCATAAAAAATAACAGATCAAGCTAAAGCCATGCCAAGATGACCCTCCCCTCTGCCCCTCAAACTGCTAGAAAACTAAACTTCATTTAACAAGACTCCTTTCAAAACTATGTAACTTCTTCCCGGAGCACACAGAGCGCAGAGAATTACTGAACAGTCCTTCAGTGCCTTTCAGGAACACAGCATGCAGATGGTGGGAACAAATGGGCAGCCTGAGACAAGTCAGTCAGGATGCCGGATCATTAGGCTGAATCTAAGGCGGTCTGCTTACCTTTGCTCTTTCAAACACAGCCTCCAGCCTGCAGGAATAAGTATTGTGTGTTACATCCTGGCCTGAACATGGAATGAGTAAGGGAGGTGGCTGGAGGCCCTGCCTCTACCTTATTTAACCTTTTTGACCAAATGTATAATACAGTTGTGGCAGGCCAATAAATCGCCCATGGTGGCTTCCAGCTAGCTGCTGACTTTGTCCACATGCTAGAGATCCTAGGAGGAGCGAAGGTTAAAATCACCTCTTAGCTAACAATCCTCATAGTGTGTTCTGTGGATAAAGGATTCTGTGGATGAAGCTTGTGTAGCCCAACAACTGGGTGCTTGTCTAGAGAGATGGTACCATGATGTCCTTCAGAGAAACCAGGGATCACTGATTTTCCAAGATCAGAAAAGCAAGGAGCATGGAAGCACAGCAAGAGTATTACACTAAGATTGATTCAATACTGCTCTTTCTTACTCTGACTCCAAAGTGGATCCTACAAGCATCCCCGAACGAGGCAGCCAAGGTGAAGTGAGGCGGCCACAAACTGTCTCATCAACACACGCTCCTTTTCTTATTGTAACTGCTCTGAATGGGGCGCGACCAGCATTTCTTCCTGCCCTGCGCCAGGACGCAGAGACGGGAGCGCCATGGGGTGTGCATCTCTAAGGAGAGGAGTGAATTTGTTAGAGGGTCTTTTCTGGCCTGGTGGATGGATGCTGGGAGTGACGTCACCGCGCCCCCTCCTCCGCGAGAGTGTGTGTGTGAGTGTGTGAGTGTGTGTGAGTGTGTGAGCGTGTGCGTGGTGCGCCTCCCGTGCCTAGTCCGCCGGCCCCTCCTCGGTCCAGCTCTCCGGCCCTTTCAGCGGGTCAGGGGTCCAGACTCAAGGGCTCGCCGGGGGCGCANGGCGCAGCGGGCCTGGCCGTGCCCGCGCCAGGCGCACCCACACGCGCACCCCCCTGCTGGCACCCGGCGCACACGATTCCCGGCGCCGGGGCACCGCGATTCCGTGGGATCCCCAGCACGTTGTGTGGATTTCAGAAAAGGAAACAAAGAGAGAAGCTCTTCCAATCACTTTCCTAAGCTTTTCCGTTTAATTTCCCCCGAAACACCTGGCCTCCAACCATAACCACCGGGTCCAC